GTCCCCCTGGGTAGAGTGCCGTGGCATTACAGCTCACAGCAACCTCCAACTCCTGGGCTCAAGCGAGTCTCTTGCCTCCGCCTCCCAAGTAGCTGTGACCACAGGTGCCCGCCACAACGCCCGGCTATTCTTTACAATGACCAGATACTTGGACACATCCAAGACTTGACATTGCTGGAGCCAATGGGGCTGATATCCAGGGACCAGTGCTGGACCCCTCCTAGGCTGTCCCATGCACTGAATATTCTAGTTCATGTGCAAAACCAGGCATTTTCATTTTTCAAAAGGGCTCTCAGGAGTAAATAATGGGATAAGGCTGTGTAAAACATGCACAAAAATATCACTTCTTAAAATACAACACAGAGCATCTACTGCCCTATATTAAACAGGTACCACTGCCATTCTCTGGGACTCCTTGAAACAATTACCAAGAGGTTCTTTTTATCTTCATGTGGATTGTTCCTTAGGTAAACGTGAAGTTGTAGGAAGAATATTGGAGTTGGGGTGAAATGGAGAAAGAGAATAGCCTAGAAATCTTTTCTTCCTGAACTGGGCACTGTGGCTTATACCTGTAATCCTAGCACCCTAGGAGACCGAGGAAAAAGGATTGCTTGAGGCCAGAAGTTCAAGACTAGCCCTGGCAACACAGTGAGACCCTATCTCTACGTACTGACATGTGCCTGTAGTCTCTCAGCTACTTGGGAGTCTGAAGCAGGAGGACGGCTTGAGCCAGGAGTTCAAGGTTATGTATGGGGAGCTACAATTGGGCTACTGTACTATAGCAAGATCATAGCTCTTAAAAAAAACCAAAAAACTTCTTTTTTTTTTTTCTTGAGACAGAGCCTTAAGCTGTCGCCCTGGGTAGAATGCTGTGGCATCACAGCTCACAGCAACCTCTAACTCCTAGGCTCAAGCAATTAATTCTCTTGTCTCTGCTTCCCAAGTAGCTGGGACTACAGATGCCCACCACAACGCCCAGATATTTTTTGGTTGTGGCCATCGTTGTTTGGCAGGCCCGGGCTGGATTTGAACCTGCCAGCTTAGGTGTAGGTGGCTGGCACCTTAGCTGCTTGAGCTACAGGCACCGAGCCCCAAAAAACTTTTCTTTCTAAAAAGTTAAATATCATCCTTCCCATGAAGATCATGAGTTGTATTTAGAATGATCATATAAAATGTTAAAGTATTTTTATATTGCTGGCTGATATTTTAACACCCTCTTGAACGTCTGTAAAAGGTACGAAACTTGAAGGATGAAAACCCATCACACTATCAGATCATTATCACTTTCCTAGACCAAGGATAAGCAGCAGAGGTCAGCTCTGAATTTTAAAAAAAAGAGGGCACCTGACTTTCTGGCACTGCCAACTTCAGATGTGTAGCAATGAGGCTTCAATGAGGTGATATATGTAAAACATTTAACTTATAAATGTTAAGATGCTATGTACCTGGCACATAGTAAATGTTAACTATCAGCAGAAAATGTTAACTATCATCCTTATCATCACCAGAAACTGGAAATTATTATCTGACACATGGATGTCTACACTGAATGAACAGAAATGAAGACACGAACGTTCATCGAGTAGTCACTGGAATCATGCAAAAGGCCTTCACACATTTTGACTCTTTGTCCTCACAACAACTCTGCAAGATTACTGTTGATGCTTTTGCAGAGTCCTGCAGCAAATAAGGGGCTGAGCCAGAATGTACTGCCCATGCTACTTTATGCAGATTTGACTAATGCTTCAGAGTTACAGTTTATTGTGAGCCAATCATGCCATGTGCTCGATGACATAAATCCACACGTGTATGTTTGAATTACAGCGGGCAGTTTCCCTACCACCTCATTAAGTTGTCTTCAAATGGAAGAACAGGTAAAAGTATAATATAAAAATGATTTATGTTGGGCGGTGCCTGTGGCTCAAAAGAGTAAGGCGCCAGCACATATGCCAGAGGTGGTGGGTTCAAACCCAGCCCTAGCCAAAAACTGCAAAAAAAAGACTTACGCTGCCAGGTGCAGTGGCTCACATCTGTAATCCTTGCACTCTGGGAGGCCAAGACAGGAAGATTACTTGCGCTCAGGATTTTGAGACCAGCCTCATCAATAGCGAGACCCCAATTCTACTAAAAATAGAAAAATAAGCTGGGCATGGTGGTACATGTCTGTAGTCCCAGCTACTTGGGGGGCTGAGGCAAGACGATTGCTTGAGCCCAAGAGTTTGAGGCTGCTGTGAGCTATGATGTCATGGTACTCTACTCAGAGCAATAGAGTGAGACTTTGTTTCAAAAAAAAAAAATTACTTATATTATTTTATGCAGGTAAATCCAGAGAAGGGAAAAATCTTCACAAGTGTAAAATCTTCTCAGTAAGAGGCACTCACAAAGCTCTTGATCTGGGAAAATTAAGAGGTAGATGGGTCTTTGCCATCCTCTGTTCCTTTCTTCAATGCTTAATACTTCCTCATACAATAACATCCTCAATGCATTGATTCATAAAGTCCTTTTCACTCACAATGCATAAGGTAATATTTCTTTTAGATGTCTTTTACAGAAGGACTTAGAGGCTTTTCCAAGGATACTGTCTAGAGGCACTAGAATGGTCCAGTGTTTGACATATCATCGCAGGCTTTCCTACAACACAGCCTCTATCAAAACTAGGCTGCCCCAAACCTCTGAACCAAGAAAGTTGGGAAAGCACCAAAATCTGTAAGTAGCAAGTACCCAGGCAGACTTCCAGGGGGTTTGTGCTGAGACCTAAAGTTCCTAATGAGGTTGTCCAAAACAAAAGAACACATTAGCACATCAGCAGGGCATGTGGTACTTCCATATGTGCTAACGTGTTTGTGATAGGATCAAGTGTGCTTTACTTAGTGAGGAGCAGAAAATTGCTGTGAAAGTGTTGAAGGCAAAATTACCGAGTCAGAAAGCTAAATAAAAATATGAAGTTTTTTTTTCTTTGTAATAAAAATTAAAAGGCCTCAAAAAAAGTCCCCAGGACTTTGAGTAACATCAAATCTTTAAAAGTGGCTGGCCACAGTGGCTTGCACCTATAATCCTAGCACTCTGGGAGGCCAAGGCAGGTGGATGGCTCGAGCTCAGGAACTCAGGAGTTTGAGACCAGTCTGAGCCAGAGTGAGGCCCCTGTAATTCCAGCTACTCAGGAGGCTGAGGCAGTAGGATTGCTCAAGGCCAAGAGTTTGAGGTCGCTGTGAGCTAGTACTCTAGCCTGGGACAACATAGTGAGACTCTGTCTCAAAAAAAAAAAGGGCAGCGCCTGTGGCTCAAAGGAGTAGGGTGCCAGCCCCATATGCTGGAGGTGGTGGGTTCAAATCCAGCCCCGGCCAAAAAAAAAAAAAAAAAAAAACGAAGAAGAAAAGAAAACAAAGAAAAAGAGGTGAGACCCTTAAGAAGTGATCAGGCTGTAAGGGCTCTGCCCTCATTGGTGGACTTAGTGCCATCATGAAAGGGCAAGTTTATCCCCCTTTTGCCTCTTTACCCTTCATTCTTCGGCCATGTGATGACGCAGCAGGAAAGTCCTCACCAGATGCCGGCACCTTGACTTTAGACTTCCCAGCCTCTATGACTTTGAGAAAATAAATTCCTGTTCATTATAAATTACCCAGACTGAGGTATTCTGTTATAGCAGCACAAAACAAACCTAAGACAGCAAGCCAAATTTTAAAGCAAAAGTAAGTTAGTTGTTACGTTTACCAGAATTCCGGAAATCCATGAAGCAGCAGCATAAGCGGTTTGCCTCTTTCTCCAGCAGCAACATAGTGAAATCTTAACCCTGAATCCTGAAAATAGATGGCACAGAATTTTAGTGATGTTTTGAGACGACGGTCAAAGAAGTACCTTTAGTATTTCCATTTTGTTACAAAATACTTGGCTGGCCGCAGTGGCTCACATCCATACTCCTAGCACTTTGGGAAGCCAAGTTCAAGAATCACTTGAATCCAGAAGTTCAAGACTGACCTGAGCAACACAGTGAGATCCTATCTCTACAAAAAAAAAAAAAATAGAAAAATTAGCCAGGCCTGGTGGTGACTGACTGTAGTCCTGGCCACTTCAGAGAACAAGCCAGAGTGATTATTTGAGCCCAGGTGTTTGAGGCTATCTTGAGCTCTAATAAGGACATTGCACTGTAGCCCAGGCAACAGAGCAAGATCCTGTCTCAAAAAAAGAATAAAACCAAAAACTCACTAGTATTATTTTAACATCAATGAATAAAATAAATTTCCTTAACTGTCAAAAAGAAAAAAGACTCACGATTTATCAATATGGGCAAATGGACAGAATCACTTTTGTCAATACTCCCTTCACAGGTCCTTCTCTTTGTTCTAGTACAAGGTCAATTTATATATTATGAGCCTCCGAAGTAATGTCACCATTTGTAACTTTCATCTTACTTATGCGTCACATTTCATCTCACTCAAATTTTATAGGACATGTAAATAATTCCCATCTGAATTTATATTCCTGCCATGTTTACCTCCTAGTCATATGCTTTTCTCGGCTTGCCCGTCAAGAGCTATGCAATCAGTTATATAATTCACACCTCCTTCCCTTATTTTTAGGTCTTTCCTTCCCACGCTATTATTTTGAGTGTTGCATGTACTGTTCCCCTTGGTGCCTGCTCCTTATGCCACATCATTGTGCGCTCCTAACACTGAATGCCCTGATTGCAGAAGGCTTCACTCCACACATAGAGACAATAAAACTAAAGAAAAATAAAAAGCACGGGAATGAGAGACGAATTCTGCAAATGCTAAGCAAACTGAAGAGAGAAAAGTAGAGGAAACCTCAAGAAAAGAAAAACAAAAACTCTCAAAGAAGGAAAGCTAGGAAGGAAACCAAGAACCAAAAGCTGAGCACAGACACCGAGTCGCCTGATACAAAACAACCGGGTTTTCAGATGAGAAAGAATCATTTTACCGATTTAGAAAATGCAGGCCAAAGTTGTTAACACAGGACAATGTTCTTTCCACTCCATTGTTCTGCATCTCTGGGAAAGCTCTTCAGGTGGCCAGCATCAGAGGAAAGGCATTTTAAGGAGTTCTGGATGATTCTTACTCAATTTTTACTCCTCAGGTTGGACAGAGATAACAAATCTGACTTTGTCCTCAACTGCAGAATTCTTTCCTAGAAGTTTAATACGTCCTTTTTTGGAAGGCTAAGCCAGGAGGATCACTTGAGGCCAGGGGTTTGAGAACAATCTGGGCAACATAGCAAGACCTTTCCTCTACAAAAAATTAAAAATTAGTCACCCCTGGTGGTGTGTGTTTGTAGTCCCAGCTACTCACGAGTCTGAGGCAGGAAGATCACTTGAGTCTAGGAGTTTGAGGTTATGGTGACTTATGACAGAGCAAGACATTGAAAATAATAACAAGGAATAAAAACCTCTTTCATTGGCAAAAACTTTTATTGGAGACGAGTCTTGCTGGATGAAATGCTATGGGCACTTGATTGCATTTAATTAACACATACTTTATTGCACCAACTATATGCACCACTGTTCTAAGTTCTTTTTGGTTTTTGGATTTTTTTTTCCTAACATATCAACTCATTTAATTTTCATATTACCCCAGGCAAGAAAGAAGTCCTCTTGCCCTTCTGAATGCCAACTGCTGGGCAATTTAGCTTGTAATAGGAAATTAGGACTTGGTGACACACATGTCCCCTCATCCGAGGCTGGTTTTAAAAGGCCTGTGAGTCAGGCTGCAGGGTGTATCACAGGAGCCATTTCCCTTCAGCACCTGGAGCTCAGGAAATAGACTGTGGGCTGTGAGGAAGCTTGGGACAAGCATAAACAATTCAAGAGCCTGCGTGTACGGTTGACATTTACTTTCTATTCCATTCCCTTGGTCTCTGACTTCCTAACTCTGCTTCCCTCCCACAAACATACACCATTTCCTGACCCCTTCATGCTGCCTAAGTCATCTGTGATCAGAAGAAACTCCTGATTTCCAGTGACTTATTCTGTTTATCTCTGAAATTTAGGTAAGGCCAGCTAGTCTCCTGAGACAGTAGGGTGCCACCAGAAACAATTATGGCTGATGTAAGCTCAAAAGGGCAAAAAGGTGACAGGAGCCAGTCACCTTGCAGAGGCGGGAGACAGGAATGTAAGAGGACCCTGATGAGAAACCAACCCAGGCGCCTGGGAAACGGGTCTCTCTCTCTCTGAGACACACAGACTGGCACAGACACAGACACAGACACAGACACACACCGGACCCACTCCCTCCACGCCTCGCCCTCCCTGCCTCCCCCAGGTAGCCCCCTGTCCCCGCCGCCCGCCCGCGGGGACACTAGGGGACGCTGAGCCGGCGTCACGCAAGGAGCAGCCCCGCGCCCCGCGCTGTCCGGGCAGTCGCGTTCCCTCCCGAGAGCGCCGGGGCGGCGCCGTCCCTCACCTTGATCCGCACGTAGCAGTGGGTCCCCAAAGAGGGGTCGTTCAGACAGGCGGGGGGGTGCTCCCGGGCGGCGCGCCGGAAGGTCCGCGCGGGTCCCCTGCCGATGCTCCACAAAAGTTTGAGCAGGTGGACGGAAGCGCAGAGCCAGCAGTAGCAGTAGACCAGCGACCAGAAGAGCAGGGCGCGGAGCGCGAGCGCCAGGCGGCGCAGGCGACCCCGCAGCCCCGCCATCCGGCGGCAGCAGCGGCGCC